GTAGGACCTCAGTGCAACTGCACTGAGTCGACGGTACGACTGCCTACAGTCAGGAGAAGGGTCTAGAGAGTCCCAGTCCAGTCCAGCAAGTACCACAGGGGGACTGTGAGCACCAAGGGCCGAAGGTAAAGGGCAGACCAACGAATTTCTGAAGTATAAATCAAGAGGCAGCGCCCAGCCATTCATTCATTCCTGCGTGATCCATGCGGAAGCGCTGCCACAGCGACTTGTGCAAGGAGGTCTGCAGATGAGCCCGGAGGACGAAGTGGGCAGGAGAGGAGGAGTTAGCATAGCGATAGGTTGGAGGCAGCCATAGCTGCCATAGCTGTAGTTAGTAGTGAGTGTGTGTGTGTGCTCGAGTGTTAGAGTGATGCGTGTGGGATATCCAGGGTGATCCAGTGCATGTGAACAGTGAGATGTTTGGGCGCTGAAGTCGCCATAGCCATTTGAGAGTGAACTCGTATCTGAAGCCATATCTCTGAGTTTTGAGTGGGCGCATGTCGCCAGTGTGCTGCGTTACTGTTTACATGTGTGAAAAGTGTGTTTGAAAACGAATCTGATTGCAGTTGTATCAATTGGTCCTCTATTCTCCTTACTGCTGATTGCCTCTCCTCCTCATGGTATGGTAAGGATTTATGTGGCAGATGAGGAGGAACTCAGAGTAGGGATATGACTTTGGATTACGATGGGCAGTTAATCCCCTCAGTTAAGGGCAATCAATGCTGCTCATCAGTTACTTGGTGTGCTTGTGTGTCGCTTTGGATGACCACTTAGATGACCACTCTCTTTCAGTAGGAAGGACACGTGGCATGCCTACACCAGTTTGAAATGTTCTCATAACAATCATTTTTACATGTCCAGGGACGCTGGACCCGCTTTCCAGCAGGTGCTGCTCCCCACCAATAGATGGAGCCTCCCCGAGCATGCTAGTGGTGTCTGCTTATCAGCACCTCTAGCATTCACTCGGGTTGTTTCGGGGAAAAAAAAAAAGAAAAAAAAGAAAAAAAAAGAAAGGGAAACAATGAGCTGCGCCTGCGCCGTTTCGGTGAGCGCAATGCTGCGCTACGCTCCGTGAACACGCTGTCGCGGCTTCGCGCCGGAAATCCCCCGCGCGCGCATTTTCGCGCGCCTCGCTCGTTCGTTTTCGAAGCTGTTTATTGATGGTGAGGGGGGGGGGCGAGACTGTGTGACGCCACGTCACGCCAAGCCACGCCCCCGGGCGTGGCGCCCTTAAACCAGGCAAGGGAGACACTCACAGTGGAAGGAGAAGCAAGGGGAAGGAAGAAAGAGAAGGATTATACAGCGACCATAGAGCGAAGAGACGAAACGAAGAAGAAGAGAGGGATAGAAAGTGAGAAGGAGCTTCTTCCCAAATTGGGGAAAGGATCAGATAGGCACAAGACGACGACTCAAGCACTAATGGTTGAAGAAGGGCAAGTGTCACACAACCAGACTCAGCAAAGAAACGAGCATCACGAACTGAGGTAGAAGGAAGCTCCACACCATCGGCCTTTACAAGGGAGGTAAGATACTATGGTGTCCTTTGATATTCAGCAATGGTGCAGCGGTCAGGCAAGAAAAAAGGAGCAGCTACTACAAAACGATTGAGGTTCTCACGGAGCTAATCCTCCGATCTGGTCGATCGACTATCGAAAAGCGGTCGTAGTAGCCCAGGTCCCTCTACTCACTCTTTCCCGTAGCCTAGGTCCACGTCCGTAACTAGGAACCCTCCCTCCCCACTCCACTAATCCCACCTCCCCTCCATCCTGGCTCATTGCTCACATCGCACCACGGACCTGCGGTTCTTGTCTCATGTGGTAGCATACATCTTATCTTCGCCACCAGCCCTCCCTTTTGCTCCCCCCTGATTCTCTAACCCCACCACCTCCTCCTTCCCCCGTGGCCTACCCCATCCGACCTTCCCCCTTGCCTGCGCATCACGCCTCGAAGCTGGTCAGCGTTCTCATCTTCCTTCTCGCCCTCTCCCCACTCTCACTCACCCTCACGTTTACCCCCGTCATAGCCGATCATATCACCCTCCCCGCCCCCCGTCGCCCATCCCTCGTCCTCCTTCCCCCATCGAGAGCGCAAGTGCTCACCTTCGTTCTCTCTCCGACCATCCCTCTCCCGGCTCCTTCGTTCCCCCTCCGACCCCACCCGTCCCCAACCCGGTCCCGCTCCAATCTCACCCGACCCTACTCCGACCCCAATCGATTTCATCCCTACACTCCGATCTCATTCCGCCTCCCACGCCGACCCATTCCGATCCCATCCCGACCATCCCGATCCCCTCCGGTCCCGCTCCGACCTCACCACACCACTCGATCCCTTCCGACTACATTCCACCCGATCCCATCCTGGTCCCACTCCACCAATCATCCCTCTCGATCCCTGACTGGCACCCTCTCCACCCACACCCTCTTGTCTCATGTGGTAGCATACATCTTATCTTCGCCACCCGCCCTCCCTTTTGCTCCCCCCCGGTTTTCTAACCCCACCACCCCCTCCTTCCCCCGTGGCCTACCCCATCCGACCTTCCCCTTTGCCAGCACATCATGCCTCGAAGCTGGTTAGCGTTCTCATCTTCCTTCTCACCCTCTCTACACTCTCACTCACCCTCCCATCATAGTCGATCATCCCTCGTCCATCTTCCCCCATCGAGAGTGCAAGTGCTCACCTTCGTTCTCTCTCCGGCCATCCCTCTCCCGACTGCTTCGTTCCCCCTCCGACCCCACCCGTCACCAACCCGGTCCCGCTCCAACCTTACCCGACTCTACTCTGACCCCAATCGATCTCATCCCTACCCCACTCCGACCCCACCCGATCCCACTCCGACCTCACTCCGATCCCATTCTGCCTCCCACGCCGACCCATTCCGATCCCATCCTGATCCCTTCCGGTCCCGCTCTGACCTCACCACGCCACCCGATCCCTTCCCGACTACATTCCACCCGATCCCATCCTGGTCCCACCCCACCAATCATCCCTCTCGATCCCTGACTGGCACCCTCTCCACCCACACCCTTGCTATAGGCCTTGTGCCCCCCTATTCTGAACCAGTCCCCCCTCCCACACCGTCCCACCGGACCCCACCTCCCCACCCCATCCCTCTCTGTCCCCTCCCACATCCCGCTCGAACGGGCCAACGATTCTCTCTACGATCACCTCATTCATACAGTCCCCCTGTCAATCGTGGGGTACCCCACCCGCATCTCACATAACTAGCCTTGGCTGCACAATCGGCCCACCTCTTCCACGTTCATTGACAATTTCCTTCCGGTTTGCCTCTTCATCTCCCATCCTCCCCCATCTCCTGGATCGTATCCCCGACTCTCTCGCCTTCTTACCCACACTCCCCCCGCCCCCGGACTTCTCGTCTATAAATCCTAACCTTCTATTACTCATCCCCCGTTCAGCCTACCCCCCTCTCCCCCTCTTCCCCCCTTGTTGACTATCCCTCTACATCAACCGACCCTTTTCACACATAGCAAGGACGGACGAATCTGACAACGGAAAGAGAGTAGGATAGGACTGATTACCCGTAATTGAAGAGAATGGCTTCCCCAATTCAGAACACGGGTACAACGAACCAAAGCACTGGGGAAAAATGCTTCAATGTGATTGACAACAAAGCTCTCAAATTCCTGATAGACAAGGCAAAAGTTCAGGGGATACAGACCACGGAGACACAAAGGTTGGATGGCAAAGAAGAAGAGATCATTGTTTGGAAGTATCCGGAGGAAAAACTGGCAGAACTGGATGATCGGCACGAAAGGCACGGTGTAGTTTTCAACTTTACACGCAATGGAGCAGATCTCCAACCAGCAGAGAAGAGGAAATGGGTTATAGAAACAATTAAGAAAGAACTGAAACTCAAACAATTGGGAGAAACCTTCACTCCGCAGAATCTGGCTCGAAACAATATCATGGCATTGTTTATTCGGGAGGAACACGCAAAGGCTGCGGCTGAGATGCAATCCAGAAACTGTAACGGGTCGGTCTGTACGATCACCAAATGGAAAAAACTGACTGCACAGAGACAGAACCCAGTGTTTATGGTCTCTTACAAATAGACACTGTTAAAGGAAAACTTTTTGGGTGCAATTCGACAACATCCAACCTGGATTCCATGGTCTGTTGGTGGACAGGCTAGAAAGACAGTACACAGCAAACATGATCCTCAAATGGATCCTGCCAACACCAGACTTCTTGGCCCCGCACTGTGGCTCCATGACAGCGGCGCTGGAAGTTAAGACAGACAACCCCCTGATGTTTCCATAGACCTGGAAACTCCAGATCGAAAACAGAGTCGTGGAAATCAAGGTCTCAACAAAGACCTCCCCAATCTGCTTTCGATGTAGGGAGTGGGGTCACATGGGAACAGACCCCAATTGTCCCAAATTTCCAAAACAGCCAAAAAAACGTAAACTCCTCCCCAGCATACTGGTGGAAGTGGAGGACACCCCAGGAATCTGGTTCATCGCGGACAACACCTACGATGGATGGGTGTTCGACGAGAACCTGGAGGAACCAGATGGGGTCTGGCACTATGCCGACCTGGAACCCACAGTAAAAAAAACGAGCATTTTCCCCCCAGCAAACAGCAGATGGCAGAAGAAAGCAAATGGGAAAGTAACAGGCAACCCAACGAGGATTAACACTGACCCTCTCATCGACTCTCGGGTGATCAGGGAAGAGAAAGATCGGGAAGACTTACTATGGGATCTGGATGCAGTCAGGGAACAAGCCGTTTCCGAATTCAACAAAGAATCAACCAGCTTCCGAGGTATGCTGAAAAATCTGTAACAAACAGCGCTCTGAACAAAAACCGGAACACAAACAGATAACAAGCGGATGCTGGACAACGAGGGGGTACAAGAGACCACGGAGGGTGGCCCCAAGAAGCGGAGGGCAATGGATGCAGAGGGGAGAGAGGCAGTGATAAGGACGCCCACCAGAAAGGAAAAAGAGGGTATGACAGTAGATTCAAAGAATACTGGATCCGGAAAGGTGGCAGACGGAAGTAACACCGATGGAGGATGCTCATCAATGGACGGTGAGATGGATTCCCAATGTTCCCTACAGTGGCTCAGAGAGTATGTGGAAAAGGTCAGAAGGGAAAGAGAACATGCCTTTGATATTTGGGCAGCATGTTTGAAACACGCAAAAAGATCTCAGAGAAATGGTAAGAAGGGGATGATCGGTGGCATAGGGAGCTCCAATAACCAATTCGATGCTCTCAGAAAGGTCAAAGCAGAAGAAATCTCAGAATACACAGCATTCAGATATGCTGAAAAGAAGAGGGCAAGAGAGCAGGGGCTGAAGCACAACGACAAAACTATCCTGGAGTCCAAAGATGAATTCCAAGATTTGCACCCAAAGAAGTGGAAGTCTGGGAAAAATCAGAAAAAGAAGGATCTCGACACTGATCAAATGGAGTCTGAAGAGGAATCGGGATGCACCCTGCTGGAAAAAGAAGCAGCAGTGGTGTTAGCCCAAACGGACAAATTGAAAAAACTGAATGAGGAGTATGCCCCCGAATTCACCACTGTTACACATATAGCCAAAGACGAGGCTCCGTTGGTAGTGGAGACAACCAGGTCGTCACGTCTAACGCTGATGAACATCCGCCCGCTGATTGCAGCAAGGTACGTGGAGAAAGTCGGTGAATGGCAGATCGCAATGGACGTGTCCTTTTAGATCCCGTGCTTCGAGGAAGGGCAGAATGTGGCAGACATCCTCTGGGAGAAGATAACGACTGAGTTCCTATTGGGAATTTTCGAGTCTGTGCCGGACGAAACAGATCCGGAGGATATGCAATCCCGAACAGAACAAGAGGGCCCATCGACACAACGCACAGAGCCGGGGAGACACTCCCCCAAGGCCTTTTCACCCCTGATCGTCAAGCTATCGGAAACCGCACAACTGAGAACAGGGATGAGATGGAGACCCTGGCGAACGGTGACAGCGGTCCCGTACAACGTTTTGGCGAGATCAAGTTTACTGGTGGAACTGACGGCAGTGTCGGTCGCTTACGTCGTTACGACAGGGATGTTGGACGGTGATGGGGACTTAGATGCAAGAGCATACTCCACTGATTGGGACAAATTTTATAGAAGTGATGATTCGGACAATGAATCGCGGCACTGGCAATCGGATGATGAGAAGGAAGACAATGAGCGAACATTAGATCAGGGAAAAAACAGCAACGATAGCGAGGGACCGTACAAGATGGACAAACCGGGAGTGACTTCGCCTACGAAGTTGGGACAGGACACAGCGGCATCCGACCCTGGGGATGACACAGTGGGTCTGGATACGGGTGGACTCTTTCCATCGTAGATGTGCTGCTCATAAAACCATAGTCATGACCCGTCTGAGAGAGTCACGAAGATGGAAGAGTTCTGGACAGCGGCGAATGCGAAGGTGAACCGGGGAGACTGGAAGCATCAAGGGATTGTCATTTAGTGTTGGAACATAAATGGGTTGGTTAATATCATAGACAAGGAAGACAAATGGAATGACTTAATCAAAGGTCTGACAGTATACAACAAGAAACTAGCAAACATTATACTGCTTCAAGAAACCCATCTTAGTCTCTCTCCAGAACACAACATGATCAGAAATTTTGTAACAAGGAAACTGGGAGGTATTAGGATGAAATCAGGGCTGCGGACAACACCTCGAGCACAAAAGGTACAACCATTCTGATTCCCAATTCCTCTCGCGTTCATTTGGCAGGAAGCGTCATGGACAAGAAAGTTGACCTTAATGATGGTAGGTGGTGCTTCATGCACCTTAAGTAGAAAGACGAAGAATTCTTTCTATTCAACATTTATGCTCCAAATGACTCAACGGAAATATCATCCTTTGTGGCGAACTTGGGCAGCATGCTCCCGCCATTATCTTCGTGTATAGTGACCAACGATTGAAATGCCACTCTTGACCCCTCGACAGACCGTATATCCGGATCTTCCAACTCATACAACTCACAAGAGGCGTTACCAATTCAGGAATTGATGTTAGACCATGGCTTGGTAGAACCCTACAGAACCATACATCCCACCTCAAGAGCCTTCTCATTAGTAAAGAAGAACCACGCTCATCACACGACCTTCTCGCGCATTGATTACTTCCTGGTATCGAAGACAATGATGGGGGCAGTTAAGAGTGCAGAAGTCTTACACTTGGCATCGTATTTAGGTCTAGATCTCAAACCAATTGACTTAACGATCAGTTTTGAACAATTGGTGAGAAAAGGAGCCAGCTTTCATAAATTAAATAACTCCCTCCTACTAAGCCAGAATTTTCAGGAAGGGGTGCGTGATTGCTGGCAGGAACGGAGAAACACCCGTTTACCCACTCATGATCGATGGGAATGGTTTCAAGAAAGTTACTCTACCCTTTCGAAGACAGCGGCAAGAATCTCAAAAAAACTAGCAACCATAAGGAAGCAAAGGAGGCAAAATATGGAATATGTGTTGAAGATCGCAGAGTCCAATCTGAGCGACAACCCGTCATCCTTGTTATACGCTGAAATTTTCGAGAAAGCACGTGAAGAGTTGGCTATGTGGAGGTGGTGGGACCTAAAAGGCCTGCAAATAAGAGCTAGAATGAATGAATATGAACTTAGCGAATCAATGTCGAAACATTTCTTCGCTCGTATCATAGCCAACTCGAGGGCGACCACCATAGAAAGACTGAAAATTCTCAGTGATCCGGAAGAGACAGGTGCTACCAGCGAGGGGGTGTTGGGAATAGTAAAGGACTTCTACCAAGATCTGTACCAAACCAAAACCCAGTCGCCTATCCCACCCAGCATAAAGGAACCAAGACAAAAAATGTTGCAATATCTGGAACAGACGATATCAACAGCGCAAGCGGAAGATTTAGACAAGCCATTAACAATGGATGAACTCCTCCAAGCACTCGAGAGCATGAATAACGACAGATCGCCAATAATTGATGGGTTAACAAAATAATTCTGGGAGAAATTCTGGCCACTCTTAGGGGGAGACTTAATGAACTTCTACAAGGACAACTGGGACAAAGAGGGTCTTGGCAACCTCTTGAGTGGTAGTGTCGTCACACTGCTATACAAAAAGGGAGACAAAGGGGACATTAGAAATTACAGACCAATTTCGTTACTAGCGCTCCCTTACCAGATCCTAGACAAAGCTCTCTCCGCCAGAATTACAAACTTAACGGACAAATGTTTCCACATTGACCAAACGGGCTTCATCCCTGGACAGTACATATTGGATAATGTATTGACCCTAAACGAGGTACGAACAAAGTCAGAGAAAGGAGGATAAACACAGCCATACTCTTCTTTCACTTTGAGAAGGCGTACGACCAAGTTAATTGGTCTTTCATGGACGCGAGTATGGAACAAATGGGCGTGGGACCTAACTTTAGGAAGTGGGTCTGAATTTTGTACAATGATGGCACAGGCTGCATACAGGTAAATGGGTTCCTATCGGAAAGCTACCCAATCTCCCGCTCGGTCCGGCAAGGAGACCCACTCGCCCCCTCGATTTTTTATTCGTAATGGAAGCCATTGCGTCATTCCTACGAAAGGATCCCTCCATTCATAGGCTCCGAGAGGTCAATGCGGGATCATCTCACCACATGAATTTTCCAACTGCGCTCATGTTTGCAGATGACCTTACGGTCCTGATCAGAGCCTCCGACTCCTCATTTAAGACCTTGGCTAAAGCAATGGAAGCCTTCAGATTGGCGCCATAAATGAGGGTTAATTGGAAGAAGACGATCGGGTGGTGGCTTTCTGATGAGGATCTTCCTCATCTGCAAGGGCCTGAGGCCGCCATGACGTGGGATACGCCGGATACCCCTACCCGCTACCTGGGTATTCTCATGACTAGGGAGGGTCTAGCGCCCCAGATAGCCCAAAACATGCTAGCAAAGCAGATAAACAAGCTAGGGAGATGGGGGAATACATTCGCCTCACTAATTGGTCGAGCTTTGGTACTCAACACATCAGTGTTTTCCATGATGTGGTATATAGCCTCGATATGGACAATACCGGATAGCTCAATGAAGGAACTCATCCGCACAACAAGGATCTATCTAGGGACAGGAAATCCCAACAAAAAGGGGTGCATCCCCAAGATTGCATGGCAATACATCATTAGGAAGCCATTGCAGGGGGGTCTAGGGATTATAAACCCTAGATATGAGACAAAAGCCCTCCAAGTTAAATGGATAGTCAAACTCTTGATGAACCCAGAAAGCGCGTGGAACAAACTGTCATTAGACAACATCAGAGCTTTGGCTCCAGTAGCCTCACCAGAAAATATGACGGGTCTGTTTTGGATAATGAACAAGGAATGGAACCTGAAAACAGGCAGGAGAAGACCAAGAAGGGGATCTGATTTGGACACAGCCAGACGCCCTACCCCATACTGGTCAGCCCTGATGTGGATCTGGAGAGAAATATTACCAAAGAAGACCAATAGACCAAAATCCAAAGATGAGGTTTTAAGACAACTGCTGTTTGGCAATGATTGGGTGAAAGACGAAAGTGATAATCCTCTGTATTTAGATCACAAATGGCTATCATGGGCAAAAAATGGGGTATGGACAGTAAGCCACCTATGGAATGAAGAAAGGAAAGAATAGGTGACCGAACAGGAGTTGAGCACACGTCTGAACTGTTGCCACAGACGAGGGCCCAATCTCCAGTATATTATTAATCGCATCCCACAAGACTGGAAAAATATTTTGAACGAAGCGTCTCCCTGGAAGTTCGGAGAATGGGGAGTTAAAGTTCAAGAGTCCCCTCCATCACGAGCCTTCCAATTTTCACACATGCAACCGGATCAACCACCAAAGCCGTCTTTCCTCCTTCCCAATCTCCTCGTCCAAGCAGGGCATGCCATCTATACTAAACAAAGAAGTGGAATAGGCAGTCATGGATTTCTTCTTACTTAGGAAAGTAAGGGTACTAGGCTCATGGCCTAAGTTAATTTTCAGACCAGATACGGCAGTACATAATCTGGAATTCGGCCCGGCAGAGTGGGTCTGGACACCGGACAAGGATAGGAATATCAAGGTTCATGTCCCCATAGAGAACTACACAGTTAAATTTGGATACAAACTCTTGGTTAAAACAAAAGACCCAAATCCTATAATCAGAAACTAATAGGCCAGGAAGCTGACAAACTTACACAGATTTTCCGTGGAAGAAATTTAAGACTATCAGACCGATTAAAATCAGAAGCCTTCAGTGGCTTATCACATACGCTGCGCTGCCAGTGAACCAATGGCTGGATAGAAGACGTCACAAAAACGATCCCACCAGCTCGGACCTATGCTCAGTTTGTGCAGAAGGGGCACAAGAAGACGTGGTACACTGTCTAATTCAATGTAACGAGGCGACGGATTACTGGGCACGGGCCTCAGCCCTCTGAAACTCCCTTTTCGATGCCCCCTTCCCCAAACATCCCATCCAAATCCTTCTCTGGACTAACATTCCTGACCAACTCAAGAAGACAGAAAGGTTATGGTTCGGCCTGATCAGGAAGGTGACGTTATGGATCGTTTGGAAAGAGAGAAGCTGCAGAACCATCGAAGGGCTGTCCAACCCAAGAGAGAAGGTATGGGTGGAGACGAGAACTACGCTACAGGCTGAAATTCTCTGCAGATGGCAGAAGTTAAAGCAGTTGATGCGTGAAGATGAGGATCTGCGAGAAAAGGCTAGGAAAAAGTTCACCAGGCTGTGGTTAGTGGACGGTAAGGTGGCTGAGCTACGGAACGGCCGGATTTACTGGAAAGACTGGCACAATTCAGAGACAGGCAGGAAAGCCCAGACTGTGCCTGCAACGGACAGGCAACTGAGTTGAAGGGAGTAAGGGACACCAGGCATCAGGAACGAGAGCCAAGAGGAGAGGTAAGGAGGATTAAGATTGGTGTTGGGAGGAAGGGACCTAGGTCCGTCACGGACGCTGCAAAATGGATCCAGGTCGGACAAGGGAGAGGGCAACAAGAGCTGATACACTTGCTGACTCAGGACAGAGCAGATAGCCCCCTACATCAACGAGGGACATGTTTACACACCTTACAACAGGAAGAGAGAACGCAAAGAGTACCCTTGGTTCACAGTCATCAGGTTGTCTCCAGAGGAGGTACAACAGAGAAGGGTTATCACGATGAGGAATGAGGGAGGGTTTAGGGTTTTAGGGTCCTAATCATCGGGTAACGGCTCAGGGGCTTTAGGGTCTAAGGGTTTGGCCAGTTGAAACAGCTTAAGAACGTTGTCTTAGGCAGATTGTAACTGCTCAAGGTGGACGAAGCTAGGGCTGGAGTGCGCCAGAGGAAACAGGGTGGAGGGTGATTGGTAGACATAAAGGGGTGTATGGAAAAAGGGAATTGATATATATGCATGGTCAGAAAATGTGGGG